GGAGTTTCCATTGGAAATTTGGCTTGGCCTCTGGCAAACACTGTTGTTTTTGGGGTGCTTCTTAGTGAAAGTTATGGTGATGACAAGTCAGTGAGTTCTAAAGATTTCCGGAAAGAGTATTTGGTTACATTTTTATGCACTCTTGTTTTGGAGTTGTTTTATTTTCCTGAACTATCACTCTGGGGACTATTGCTCTGTGGTTTGTTACTATATGTTGCTGTTAGGGAATTGGATCCTTATTACTCAAATTATCTTGAACTGGGGATGGACTCTTCTGAATCCTTTACTACTGCCATTATGAAGCCTATTAGACACATTTTGAGTGAGAGGAAGTCCCGCAAGATTGCACTTTTCCTTCTGATCAATACTGCATACATGTTTGTGGAATTTGCTGCTGGGTTCATGAGTAATAGTCTAGGGCTGATATCAGATGCCTGTCACATGTTGTTTGATTGTGCTGCCTTGGCAATTGGGCTATATGCTTCGTATATTTCACGTTTGCCTGCGAATCATCAGTTTAATTATGGTCGTGGGAGATTTGAGGTTCTTTCAGGATATACTAATGCTGTTTTCCTGGTGTTGGTTGGAGCATTAATAGTGTTGGAGTCGTTTGAGAGGATTTTGGACCCTCAGGAGATATCAACTAGCAGTTTATTAGTTGTTTCAATTGGAGGGCTTCTTGTCAATGTGGTTGGCTTAGTCTTCTTTCACGAGGAGCATCATCATGCTCATGGTGGATCTGGATCATGCTCCCACTCCCACCCTCACCAGCATTCGCATGAATCTGTTGGACGTGATCATGGAGGTCATGGGAAGCATGAGGAGTCTATACCTATTTCCATTGAATGCCATGAAAATCCATGTTCCGGCCATGATGACCATCATGAACACCAACATGGCAGTTATATCGGTTCTAAAGACCACAATTTCGGGAGCAATGAGTGCCATGATCACGATGGCCACAGTCACCAGCACGATCACCATGGACACAGTCACCAGCACAACCACCATGGCCAGAGTCACCAGCACGACCACCATGGTCAGAGTCACCAGCACAACCACCATGGCCAGAGTCACCAGCACAACCACATTGGCCAGAGTCACCAGCACGACCACCATGGCCACAGTCACCAGCACGATCAGCATGACCACGCCTACCAGCACGAACACCATGACCACGCCTGCCAGCACGAACACCATGACCACGCCTGCCAGCATACTCATTCTTCTGAAGGCAATAAAGTGGCGGAATCTCACATTCAAGGGGCAGGTTTTCAGCTGAAAAAACTGCCAACTGATGGAGAAAAAACAGCTAAGCATCAGCACCACCACATTGACCACAACATGGAAGGAATATTTTTGCATGTTTTGGCTGACACCTTGGGAAGTGTCGGAGTTGTTATATCAACTGTCTTGATTAAGTACAAGGGATGGCTTGTTGCTGATCCTGCCTGCTCGATATTTATTTCTGTCTTGATTATATCTTCAGTTATCCCATTGCTGAGAAACTCAGCAGAAATCTTGCTCCAAAGAGTTCCCAGAGCACATGAGCAGGATTTGAGAAAAGCTCTTATTGATGTTAGGAAGATACGGGGGATTTCTGGCATTCGAAACTTGCATATATGGAGCTTCACCAACTCAGAAGTAGTGGGAACTCTCCATCTTCATGTTTCAACAGACATTGACAAGGCTTCTGCAAAGGCACAGGTGTCACATGTGCTGTACAAAGCTGGAATCAAGGATTTAACATTGCAGTTGGAATGTGTTGGACAATAGCTTTATAACTTTTCACGATTTTCTTCACCTTGACAGAACTAACTGTGAGAGAGTTGGCCATTTGTTGTGGACTCAAAGTGATTTTCTGAATATTGGCTGATAAACTCCTTCATTGAGCCTGTCGGGGATTACAAATGGGTCCTGCAGCGCTTCTTTTGTCATCTTTCTGGAACTCTTCATGTACATCTTGAATTGAAGCTCAGAAAAACATGAGATAGATGTTACCAAAGGTTAACAGGATTATGATACCAATCTTCTCTGCTTGGAGATCAGCATGCATCGCATTGATAGCTCGTGTTTGTGTGGGCATGTAAAAAAACATGCAAAGGGATTGGATGTGTAACTTTTTTTGGCAGGCAATATAAAGTAGTTTGTAGTTCATATCCATGAATCATTTGGATTTTCTTTTTCGTTGGTTTAAAGCACGATTTAAAGATGTATCACCTGCTGGCATAATAATCTACCCGGACGTGGAAATTCACAGAATGGATGTAATTTCGATCAGTCATGTCTGTAATTTTTCCATACAAAACCAGTAAATTTACTTAGTTTCCTGCACCTCGTGGGCACTCAATTCCTCAAAGACCATTATTAAATCTGCTAGCAGTCGTCTTCTTAGCGAAAAGGACAGAGAAGCAAATAATCGTTTAATGTAGGGATGGCAAGGCGCAACCGAAAACGAGGAAAACGATAACAACTAAGAAAAGAAATGAAAGTATAAATTTTTTGACAAAGACCCGCAGGAGAGGACGCTAGAGAAAAGTTTAAAGTCCATTGAAAAACAATGCATGCATAAGTCCACACTTAACACTTCTGTGTCGACTCAGTGAGTGTCTGTGTGACAGTTGACTTAAACATTGCTGAACATGGCCGTCCCAGTTCCTTCTCGTCAGCTTTTCATCGCCGGCGAATGGAGAGAACCGCTTCTGGAGAAAAGGATCCCAATCATCAACCCCGCCACTGAAGAGATTGTAGGTATGTAGTCTTTCATTTCAACTTCGAATTATATACGTGTACAGAAATCATGGACCAAGTTTAATTTCAGCAGCTATATGCTCTTTCTTTTTTTCCTTTTTCAGGGGACATAGCAGCTGCTACTGCTGAAGACGTGGATTTGGCAGTGGATGCTGCTCGCACGGCGTTCTTCAGTAATGAAGGGAAGGATTGGTCCTCTGCTTCTGGTGCTTATCGTGCGAAGTTTCTTCGTGCCATTTCTGACATGGTATATATTAATCTCATGATCATAATTGTTAATATACAGATCAGCTCCACAATTTTTTTTTTCTTGACCTTCTTCTTCTTCCTATTTCCATGGAGATTTTGGAGAGAAAGTCTCTACTGGCCAAACTTGAAACAATCGACACCGGCAAGCCACTAGATGAAGCAATATCTGATATGGTATATACACTAGTACAGTCTTTGTTGTATATTAGAGTATGGTTAATTTATCAAATTTTTTCTAAGTTATTAAGTGGGCTTAATTATGTCCAATTCAGGAAAGTTGTGCTTCTTGCTTCAAGTATTATGCAGAGCTTGCAGAAGCATTGGATTTGAAGCAAAAAATTACTGTGCCTATACAGCAGCAGTCATTCAAGACCCATGTCCTTAAGGAACCCATTGGAGTTGTTGCCCTTATTACTCCTTGGTATCTTTTACTTATTCCATTTCCTTTGTTCATCTATTTGCTTTCCTCTTTGTTTTACCTTCTTATTCTGAAAATTGTACTTTTTTATAAATGGAAAAAATATAGTCAATTAATTTCATCTGTGTGCTGAAGGAACTACCCTCTTTTGATGGCTACCTGGAAGGTCGCTCCTGCTCTGGCCGCCGGATGTACTGCTATACTCAAGCCATCCGAATTGGCATCTGTGTGAGAGTTTCACACCTATTTTTCGATTGCTCCTCATTACGTTTCCATAACTAGATTCTGGGTTTGTCATCCTAATATTATTTGCAGGACTTGTTTGGAGTTGGCAGAGATTTGCAGACAGGTGGGTCTTCCTTCTGGCGTCCTTAATGTTGTGACTGGGTTAGGCTCAGTAGCTGGTGCCCCTATGTCATCTCATCGTCATGTTGATAAGGTCTGGCTTTTAATTTCCGTTTCAACTTGTTCAAGACTTTGAAAAAACCCTGCATAAGTCACTCATGCAGTTTCTTTCCAATTGTATCTTTATCTGGTGAAATTAAGTAACTTTTCGTATTAATCAGATAGCATTTACTGGAAGCACAGCAACAGGAATTAAGGTCATGACAGCTGCAGCTCAATTGATCAAGGTCTTGTCCTACACTTTTTGCATATGCAAGTATTGCAATCTCCAAAATCACAAACATATCTTTGGAACTTGGTGGAAAGAGTCCAATTGTTGTGTTTGAGGATGCAGACCTTGATACTGGTAAGTGTTTTGGGGAGGGAAAAAAATTTACTTTCTAATAAGATGCTGGGAGCTTCATCACATTATATTTTGCTTACTGGTAGAACGTTTATCATCTTTGAGAGCCTAAGCGTGATATAACTGAATAATGGAACAGCTGCAGAATGGACTATCTTTGGCTGCTTTTTTACAAATGGTCAAATCTGTAGTGCAACATCTCGTCTTCTTGTTCATGTAAGCATGAGAAGCAGACCATTTTGTTGTCTCCCTAAACCCTAAACCCTATATTCTTTCTAGTTAAGTATCAACAGTTCTCATAATGCGCCCCAATTATGTCAGGAAAGCATTGCAGCTGAATTCTTGGAAAAACTTGTTGACTGGAGTAAGAACATCAAAATCTCTGATCCCATGGAAGAAGGTTGCAGGCTTGGTGCCATTATAAGTGAAGGACAGGTGTTAATGTTGGCTGATTTTAGCTCTGTCACTCCATTTTTACTTTGCATGCAACAAAGAGTGTAGTGAAGGACGACGTTTTATTTTAGCAGAGATGTCAAATTTGAGCCCTACTGAATAACAATTGTTCTGTTTCTTTAGTATGAGAAGATCATGAGTTTCATTTCAACAGCCAAGAGCGAAGGTGCAACCATTCTATATGGAGGTGCCCGTCCTCAAGTAAAAACCTGTCTGATTCTCACTTTCTCAAATATAAATATCATGCCAGCATCTTCTCTTGCAGTCTTCTAAACCACGTTGTATGGATGAATGGCAGCATCTTAAGAAAGGGTTTTTCATTGAACCAACAATCATAACAGATGTTAGCACCCCAATGTCAATTTGGAGGGAGGAGATTTTCGGACCGGTTTTATGTGTCAAAACATTCACTACGGAGAATGAAGCCATCGACCTAGCAAACGACACTGAGTGAGTAAAATGTTTTTGCTCCAGCACTTGTCTGCAAACTTGTTTTTCCCTATTTGACAAGCAACCAATATTTGATGCCTCTGTCTCTGCCTCATAGCTATGGCTTGGGGGCTGCTGTGATTTCAAAAGATTTGGAAAGGTGTGAACGCTTCACCAAGGTAAGACTATCATACGTAGCAATCTCAAGCTGAGGTCTACTTACATATATCTTGCATGTTTCCAGAGAAACATTTGTTTTTGGTTTATGTTTTGCAGGCTGTGCAGTCAGGGATTGTGTGGATAAACTGCTCACAGCCCTGCTTCAATGAAGCCCCCTGGGGAGGCAACAAGCGCAGCGGAATTGGGCGTGAACTTGGAGAATGGTAAGGCACATTCAAAGTTTCCAAGCAAGGGCTTTCCTTACTTGGATGGTTGTATATAACTTCTTGTCTAATAATTGATTGTGTGCTGCACTTGAAGGGGCCTGGAAAACTACTTGAGCATAAAGCAGGTCACCCACTACACTTCTGAAAAGCCATTGGGGTGGTATTCTGCTCCCCGAAAACAGTGAAGAAGGGAAAATTAGAAGAAGAAATAAAAATATCCAACGCAGTGAAGAAGGGAAAAATATAATATAAATGTAAGAAAACAAAATGTATATTACAACTACTATGTTGGATGCACTTGATGTTGTAAACTTGAAGTGGTAAATGGATTGTAGCTCAAGTGATGATAAACATTTATTTTGCACCGAGGTCATAGGTTCGATTCTCTCCTTTCTCAATATTACTTGTATAAATGGAAAACAAAAACTTGAAGTGAATGAACTCTAATTTTTATGTGTTTTAAGGAGAAAATTTTGACACTATAAAATGGGCCTCTTCTTTCTACATCAAACTCTTAAGGGCTTTACATAAATTGGCATATTCTAACGTAACATTTTATACAAATACCTATTGGGAGAGTAAAACCCTCAACTAACCAGTTGTCATTTTTAAGCGATTCTTATGAAATTATAACACACTAAGAACCAATTAGAAAATAATAAGTGACTAATTATGAAATTTTCTTTCAAATTAGACTCTCTAAGAATTTTTAGAGATTTTCTATTTAAACCCCACACTTCTCTTAGTTCACCTCATGTTCTAAGTTCACCCCAACTTTTAATTTAAATTTTCAAAATTTCCAAGAAAACCCCACTATCTTCCCAAACTACCCTTAAATACACCCCAAACTGAAAAAATAAGAATTAAAAGAGATTTTCTATTTAAACCCCACAATTTTCTTTGTTCCCAACAAAAAAAAACACAAACAAATGAAACCCTAAATCCGAAATTTAATATCTAGAGGAAGAGAACAGCTTTACCTCTCTTCAAGGATTGTAACTGGAATTCTAACACTTGGGTATTGTTGAGTTGAGAACTTGAGAGAGAGAGAGAGAGAGAGAGAGAGAGAGAGTTTGTAAACAGGAAGTTGGAAGGATGTTTCTAAAACTTAATATGAAGAGTGGTGGAGTGTGTGGGGTGTGTGTACTAGGGTTAATTATTAAGTTCGATGACTTTTTTTGTCTTTTTACACAATAATAAAACTTACAGCTTAATGATTTAAGTATTGGGGTGAACAAAGAGAAGTGCGGGGTTTAAATAGAAAATCTCAATTTTTATATAAAATGTCACATTAAAATGAACGTATGTATAAAAAGCTAAACTCTTAAATGCCTCACGTCACGTGCTTATAAACGTACCTTCATCGTGTAGGAGTTTGGTTACAACTTACAAATAATATTCTCTATTGAGATCCGCTTTGGAAAATTATTGATTAGTTTGCAAGTCTCACCACAGAAGCAAGAAGTCGTGAAGTGCTTTTAAAACGTACGAGTTTGGACAGTGAGTCAGTAACGAACTCTTCCTTCAAAGCTTCAAGCTTTCAACTTGTCTGGACATCAGTTTAACCTATGAACACTTTGAGCAGCTGAGATCTCCTCGCCAGCTCGAGATCTAGGGTTTTCGTTTCTGTTTCCGCCATGGAGGAGAAGGTAGTCGCTGTAATCATGGTGGGCGGGCCAACCAAAGGTATTGTTCATGTAATTCATGCTTTTTTTTATGAAATAAATAAAGTCTTCAATTTTGCTGATTTTTGTTCTCTTTGTTCATCTGGGCAGGCACTAGATTTCGGCCTCTTTCATTCAACACTCCGAAACCGCTGTTCCCATTGGCTGGGCAAGCTATGGTGCACCATCCCATTTCAGCTTGTAAAAGGGTTGGCTTTTGGCTTTCTTAATCTTCAACCAAAATCCCATCAAAGATTATGGATTTCAAATTTAACAGAAAATTCTGAATGCTTACTGTTATTTTACAGATACCCAATTTGGCTCAAATCTTTTTAGTTGGATTCTATGAAGAGCGGGAATTCGCACTGTATGTGTCTTCCATTTCCAATGAGCTCAAAGTACCAGTTAGGTACTTGAGAGAGGACAAGCCGCATGGCTCTGCCGGTGGCCTTTATTACTACAGAGATATTATCATGGAAGACAGCCCGGTTCGAATTCTCTGCTTAACTCTTCTTCGTTTCCATTTTTATGTATTAATAAGATTTTACTTAATATAATGTTGTGTTTGTATTTGTTGGGCAGTCGTATATCTTTTTGCTGAATTGTGATGTTTGCTGCAGTTTTCCACTACCAGACATGCTTGGTGAGCTTTGTATTCCTTATTCTGTATGTGAACTAGGATTTTATTGGTTTAAATTATGGATAAGACTTGCGGAAAGTAATTGCTTCTATTGCATTCTGTTTTTGTTTATTCTTGCAGAGGCTCATAAAGGATATGGTGGGATGGGTACAATGTTAGTAATCAAGGTTTGTATGTTGACAAACTACTTGAATGGTTGAATAAATGTTGCAACTCTGGTCCATATTTCTGAAGCTCTTTCCTCCTCGTTATTCATTATCCATTGTTGGTTTTTTTTCATTTTCCTTTTTTTTGGGTTTATCTGTAGGTTTCTGCTGAATCTGCCAACCAGTTTGGGGAGTTGGTTGCTGATCCAACCACCAAAGAACTTTTGCATTACACCGAGAAACCAGAGACTTTTGTACGTACATGGTGTAGTTAATTTCCAGATATTGTTCATATAATTGGTGTTGGTGACCCCAATTGTTCGTTTATATTTTCTTGTTTCCAGCCACACTTTGTAAAGGTTATCTGTTTTCCAAAATGCAGGTGAGTGATTTGATAAACTGTGGTGTTTATGTATTTACCCCAGATATTTTTACTGCCATTCAAGATGTCTCCACTCACCGAGAGGGCAGAGGTTGCTCTTTTTTTCCTTTTTTTTTTTTATGGCATTATTCGTTGTATGTTCGTTTGCACCTTGGATCATCTGCATGATATGTAATATCCACGTTATCTAATGAATTGGAAATGGTGCACGCCGCTTTGATTGACTTTCCTCCATATCTGATTATTTAATTCATTCTTCAATACGCAAGAAAATTTCTCCAATTTCTGGTAGTGTGACTTGTATGGCATTATTCGTTGTATGTTCGTTTGCACCTTGGATCATCTGCATGATATGTAATATCCACGTTATCTAATGAATTGGAAATGGTGCACGCCGCTTTGATTGACTTTCCTCCATATCTGATTATTTAATTCATTCTTCAATACGCAAGAAAATTTCTCCAATTTCTGGTAGTGTGACTTGTATTTTGTTAATTGCAGCTAATTTACGTCGTATCTCCAGCTTTGAAGCCCTCCAGTCTGCAACAAGGTTGGCCTCTTTCTCCTGGTTGTGTACTTTGAATAATGAACTGATAGCTATTTCTCCTTTAAATTTCCATTTTGCACAAAAAATGATTACTAATTGTGTCAGAAGTTGCAACATGTTTTTTGGTGCATATAAATTGCAACATGCTTTCCAGATCGTTTCTGTTGTGATTACCTGTTTATAAGTTATGATATTTTTTGTGTTAATACTAGAAGAAGGAACTTTTGTTTGCAATCAATCCCCTGGAATTTCATCTATTGGGGCATGAAGGCAATACGTGTGTTTAGAAATAGAGTTGTTATTGCTCAAAATTCAATGTATTATTACATCATTTTAAGCCTCTGTTGGTGTCAGTTTTCATGTTGATAGACACTCTTTTCAACAGGACTCTTCCTACAGATTTTGTCAGATTGGATCAAGATATTTTGTCACCTCTTGCTGGAAAGAAGCAACTCTATACATATGAGACCATGGATTTCTGGGAACAAATAAAAACTCCAGGGTAGAGTAATTTTTCCTAATAGCGTCATTTAATTTTTCCTTTTTCCTTAACCTATCTTAATATCATTTGCCTTATACTAATCTTTGTGTAACATTACAGAATGTCTTTGAAGTGTTCGGGTTTGTATCTTTCTCAATTCCGAATTAACTCTGCACATCTTTTAGCTAGTGGAGATGGTACAAAGAATGCCACAGTTGTTGGTAATGTTTATGTTCATCCTTCAGCAAAAGTGCATCCAACTGCTAAGGTAGTTCCACTTCCATATCATCTTTTACCATTTGTTCTGTCCTTGTTTGCAGTTGCATGTATATATTGTAGATGAATATTGTAGGACGGTGAATATAGTGGATGCAGCATAATCCCTTCTAAAGTGTGAGTTACTTTTGTGCACAGATTGGTCCCAACGTCTCTCTCTCAGCAAATGTTCGTGTAGGTGCAGGGGTAAGGCTTATAAGTTGCATTGTCTTGGATGATGTGGAAATCAAGGTATTGAAGTTGGTATCCATGGATAAACTAGAACTACAATGTCATGGGAGTGTTTATTCCAAACTTAAATGTTCTTTTTCATGACAGGAAAATGCAGTTGTTATACATGGTATTGTTGGATGGAAGTCGTCTATTGGCAAATGGTCGCGTGTCCAGGCATGTCTAATGATGTAGTTGCATCATGTCATAATAAAGTCTGTTAGATCACGCCAATTTGAGAGAGATCAATCTCAGCTGGGGATAAGGAAAATTCTCGAAATACAAAAACTATTTTGAAGTGAAAGATTAAAAATAATTAAAAATCAAAGAGAAATGTCAGTAAACAGAACTCCATTCTTGACCTGGAAATAAAGTTTTATTTCCAACATGATCTGAAGACTGATTCAAAAGTTTCTCTGGACTTGTAGCTAACTAAAATTTATTTGATTGGTTTAGGCTGACGGAGACTACAATGCAAAACTTGGAATCACAATCCTTGGTATGCATGCTTGGTTTCTCATGTCTTTCTTCTATGATTTGGTGCTGTCAATGCGCAAAGAAATTTTAAAGCAATTGACCAATTTGAGCTCTCTGTTGTTCTTTTGGCAGGAGAAGAGGTGACTGTCGAAGACGAAGTTGTGGTGATTAACAGCATTGTTCTCCCAAATAAGATTCTTAATGTTAGCGTACAGGAGGAAATCATTTTGTAATACTGAAGAGATGGATTGCAAAAGCTTCCTGGTTTTGTTTGCTGCTTGTGTGCATGCCAGAGTTTTTTGCTTAAATTATTTTGGTTAACCATATTGTATGATTGAGCTACAAGAACAGCTAGGCAACATTTTTATTCAGACAGCAACAGAAAAGAAAAATTTTGTCATGGTTCCGTGTTCATATGCATTTGTATCAGATAGCTAAAAGTTACCATTCTGTTGAAGGAAATGTTTCTGAATATTTTCTTGCAATTTGTATTCGAATTCAGTGATAAACATTAATAATATCTATTTCAAGGCCAACAT